ATATGAAAGGATAAAAAATTTTATATGTTAATTATTATTATAAAACTTTCAAAATAGATATTAAAGATAAAAAGCAACCATTTTTAATATCTATAAAAATTCAAACTCGTACCGATAATACAATTGAAGAATGTGTATTTAGTTTGATTCCAGAATTGTGTCATCTAACTGGTTTTCAAGATAATTTACCTACAGATTAAATTAATTCGTGAAATTGCCACATTTACAAGAGCATCGCCCAATCAACGACTGTTGTCTTTAGAAAAATTTGTTGATAATGAGAACAACAGTTCAGAAGCCAAATTAATTTTATCAAGCTGGGGCTTATCTCTTGCTGAAAAACCACAACCATTGGTAGGTAGAGTATTAGGAGAAGTACGAGTGGCTGTGGTGTAACTACCGATTTTGTAAAATACGCATCAAATAATTATTTGTTGAATCCAATAAATATATTGGATTGGAAATTAATATATTGTAAGAAAGACGAAAACGCAGCAAAGACATTTTTAGAACAATATGAAAGCTGTACTAATGTGATGGGAATAAAAGTACAAAAACCTAAAACAGTAATGCTGGATAATGACCGTATTGATAATCTGGTGATAGCTTTGCTGATTTGTATTTGATTTGTTGTTGTAGTTGTTGTACTAAATTAGTTAACAGGAGTAAAATGTTAAAAGTAATATGAAACAATTAATTTCATTTTTATATAGATTACAAACTACAACATTGTTTTTATGGTTTTAAAATTATTTTTATTTTTGAAATACAATAGAAAAAATATCGATAAATCAAAACATTAATTTGTATATAGCAACATACATAGTTGCTATCCTCACTTTTCACAGGTATAGCAGAACTTTAAAAGCAATATCAGATAAATCAGAGGATATTTGTGAAAGTAAATTCAAGAACCTTATCTTGATCTCTGAAATTATTTCGCAGCAATTGGCTTTTATGATATGTGTCTAATCTCTCTTCTTTGTGGATGAACATTATTAGACAGATATGAAATTTGCGACTGCACCTGTCGAGTTCCTTTATCTTTATCTTTATCTCAGACCAAAATGATTACAAATTTTCTAAGAGATTTGAATGTAAATACACTAGATTGTCCACCCTAAAGTCCGGATCTAAATATAATAGAGAATGTGCGGGCTTATATAAAACACAGAAAAATCTAAGTACAACAAGAACGGGCGACGATGCTATTGCTCAGGTAGAGGAACTTTGGAAGGACATTTTCTTAGAAACACTTCAAAATTTAGTAAAATCGCTTCCTGGACATTTGCAAAATGTAATAAACGCCAAAGGAGGGTTTATTTTTTATTAATTTTTCTTTTAAGAAATTTCTGAAATTATTTCAATTTTTTTGCAAATAATATATTGTCAAAATACTTTTTTGTCCTCTTAAATTTATTAAGTTTTATTTTTATTTTCTAAACTTTAATATGGAACTCAATAACTTTGTTGTTTTTATGACCATAACACATTTCCGTTATACATATATTTTTTTATTTTTGGATAAATAAATTGTAGTTAATCACACAAAGTATAAAATATTTTTTTAATGTTAAAATACTTATGTCCACCATTGTATATATATTGACAGATGTCAATATTTCAGCAAGAGATTTGTTTAAAATTGTTTAATATTTCAATCTCTTATCATATTCTGTTGGATATGCATATATATAAATCAAAAAAATTATTTTCACAAATAAAATGTATTTATTGGCCTAACTATTGTATTAGATATAATACAATAGTCTAAAAAAATATATATATAAAACAAAGCAATGAACCTTAAGTTACTAAATTCTACTTTAAAATCCTGAAACTATAAAATAACTATAAAATGTATATTTTTTAAATAAGCCTCTTATAAAAATTAGTTATTGTAACGTTCTATTTTGTATTAATATCTGTATCTTATAGTATTAAATAGGAGCTAAATTAATATTTAATGTATGTAGGTACATTTTAAAATACTACGAAATAAATTCTTGCTGATTAAAGTTTATCAATATTTAACTTCAATTTAATATAAATTTTATCAATAATATTTTAGTTGACTTAAACTGTATGTTATGGAACTGTATGTTATATATTTTATCTATTGTAGTTAATAAGGTGAGACTTTGTGTGAAATTTTTTTACCCAATTAGCTAATATTAAAAGAATATATTAATTAATCCAATTATAAAATAATAAAAATTTAATAAGAGAACAAGTTTGAATTGAATTTTGAGAATAGATGCAATGTACTTTTTTACATAATGCCCTTCAAGACCGGGCGCGTGTTTATTTTATAATCTCTCACCTTGTGGGTTTTATCAGTATATGTTATGTAAACTTTAAATAAATAAATGTCGCAAATAATTTCTGATATATAGAAATAATATCAAATTACTTCAGAAATTGTTAACCTTAAAAAATGCATCGGTTATACATATATATACAAATATATATTTACTTGATATTTATTAAGGTCTTAGATCTTAGTAATAAGAGTAATGTTGGCAAACATAAACAATTTTAAAAGAGATGGTGTTATTAACTTCGATAACTTATATAAACATTTTTATAATTACTGCAAAATTTCTATGTAGATCTATCATATACAATATGTATGTTTGCGACAAACACTTTCAAGAAAATTTAATTATTTTTCGCACAATTCGCGGTTCATACTTTTATACACATAACATCTTCAAGTAGATGAAATTTACCAAGAAAATTAAAAAAAAAATTAAAAAAAAAAGAATACAAACTTTGTTATGTATCTAAAAATTGCAATCTTGCAAATAAAAAGTTGTTTAAAAATAAACTTGTTGAGTTAGTAATCATTTAGTTTAATTTCAGCTATTCGAAAATAATACAATCCAATATTGGAGTACTGCAGTCATATGTAATCTACATGTTCAGCAATATATATAAAACTTATTTCACGTTGAAACAAATTTGAGGCAAAATCACGATATAGAAACTCCTAGACATATTTCTCGTATTCAAAAAAACAGCTAGCAAAATAGATGGAGAAATCAATTAACAACTAAGTTGAGAAGAATAATTTTGTGATTCTAGAGAACACTAAGTTTATAACAAATCATAGCTCACTATTTGAATAGTCCTATTTGAATGTATTCACCTTGACGTCAATTTAATGATGTACAGTTGTAGTATTTTACCGAACTAATACTATAATAATTTTAATAATTTTTCAGGTCTGTATTTTAATAGCGCTGTTCGTAAATTTAGACTTGAGTAACTAACATAATTACAGCTAAGAAGTAATATTACAAAAATAAACTTTTAATTTGACGGTTTTAAAATAATTTTAATAATTTTGAAGTCATTTAACGCTTGGTCAGACCAAAATTTTTCCCAAAAACAAATATCAGTATAGGTTATCATGAGGACGCTGGGTTTATCGATAATAACATAGTGCTCATGTTAGTCTTATGGTGGGTTTATGGTAGTGTTCTAACACAACAGCTACTTAATTTTCTTGTTATGTGAAAAATGTTAATTTGTAAAGTTATGCTATAGCAAAATGTATTCAATTTCAGCTATTATTTAATTAAACCTAATATTATGAAATATATTACTGTATGATATGATACAATATTGCTTAAGTATGTGCTCAGTTTTACATAGTTTACTAAATGCAAAATATGTATATTATAGTTTATTCCTGTTTAAGTATAATTTCACTTTTAAAAATATTTTTTCTATTAAAATCGACCATTCTCTGCTGAAGTCACCTTTTGTTTAGACGGTACATAAAGTTTCTATAAATTTGAAAATTTTTATAGATTCATCGGCATTACAGAGGGCAATTATTAAGTAATTACCTATAACGGCACTTAAACAACTGATAATATTTTTTTTAATAATATTTAGTATATCATTATTCAAAAACTTACATCCCAACAGGGTTTATGTTTATATCTAAAGAAAACGTTCAGTAAAAAATATTTTAAAACGCTATTATTGCTATAAAAATGATCAGATTTAAAGTACAGATCCAAAGGCAATGCTTTAGATACTGATGTACATTCAAAAAGTAACTGTTCGGTACTATTTATAAACTGGGGATTGAGCCTAACTTGTTCAAAAATAAAATAACTAGAAATAACACCGTCAATGACGCCCGGATCAGAGCCATAAACAAGGATTTATTTACCATTAAATTAAAATATCATGCAGTATTGTCTCATACAACACCGTGTCAAATGAAATGGGTAGAGTTTGTATCGAATCTCTATCAACCAATCGACGATCAACTAAATCCATGTTTTGTATATTTCCGACGATTTCTGATAAACATTACAGATAAATATAATCCTTAATCATGATAGTAGTCAATATAACCCTACCTGGACAAAGACCAAGTAGATTTTTTTACCACATCTTAAGTCATTTCTTACAGAAAAACTGATGAGATTTAAATTAATAAATATTTTAATCAAATAAAATTTCTCAAAAAAGAAACATATATAATAAATACAAATAACATTGTTATTAAAACAAATTTCAGTTTAAATTTAAATCAATAGTGAGTACGAGAGTTGAGATTAATATTCAGTCTAAAATAAGACTGAAAAGACTTTTGTTTAAAGTTCAAAATTTGGAAAATTTCGTTTGAAAAACAGACAAATTTAAACAAATAATAATAATATTCTTTTCGCAAATGAACCGTATTTACCTTATATAATATTTATAGACTAAGAAATAACAAAAAAGTGGATATAACTTGAAGTTCTGGATAAAAATAGAATTATAATTTGCGTAAAATGTGTATATGATGTGCATACGACTCTGTTAAAGCTCTGAAGTAAAGCGTAATATTTGACACATGCAAGTAAATAAGTTACGATTTTAAGTTTTATTTTATTTTATTTATTTATTTACTTTTAAGTGAATAAAAGCAATTGTGTTCACAAATTCAAATATTATTTTGGTATATAAACCTCCGAACAATTTTGTTTCGTCGACAATACTTTTTGAAACAAGATTATAACAAACAATCAAATGCGGTTTCGAACTTTATTTTGTTTTCTAGGATTATTTGCTTTAGCAACGGCTCAAGCCCTGCCAGCAACTACTACTGCTCTAAAATTGGGAGATCTCTTGGAAAGAATCTCTATACTGATTCAGTTCAATATATGTCCTTCAAACTTATGTACCAATATAAACGCACAAAGTGGCAACAAAGCTGATGGCACCAAAATCGTAAGTGCCACAAGCGAAAACATCAGTTCAGCAGCCAATAAAATTGTAGTGATTAATGGATGCTTTGGTACTACAAACAACGTTGCCGCGGAGAGATCAAGCGATGTGATTCAATCTGCAAGTAGTGGTTGTACAACCAATAACGTTGTAGCAGAAAGTGCAAATAATGTAATTCAGGCTGTAGAAACAACGAAAACTGACAATACAGTAGTTAGTGGAAGCACTAGTACTAAAGAAAATGTTGCCACACAAAAGGAAAGCAATGTTAGTGAAGCTGCAGAAACTACTAAAACTGAAAACGTAGTAGTTAGTGGAAGCACTAGTACTAAAGAAAACATTGCCACAGAAAAAGAAAGCAATGTAGTTGAAGTAGCAGAAACCACTAAAACTGAAAACGTTGTAGTAAGTGGAAGTGCTGATACCAAAGAAAATCTTGCTACAGAAAAGGAAATCATTGCAGTCCAAGTTGTAGAGCCTACTAAAAGTGAAAATGTGGTAGTAAGTGGAAGCATTGGTACTAAAGAAGACGTGGCCGTACAAAATGACAGTCAAGTTATTGAAGCTGCAGAAACTACTAAAACTGAAAACGTAGTAGTTAGTGGAAGCACTAGTACTAAAGAAAACATAGCCACAGAAAAAGAAAGCAATGTAGTTGAAGTAGCAGAAACCACTAAAACTGAAAACGTTGTAGTAAGTGGAAGTGCCGACAATAAAGAAAATCTTGCTACAGAAAAGGAAATCATTGCAGTCCAAGTTGTAGAGCCTACTAAAAGTGAAAATGTAGTAGTAAGTGGAAGCATTGGTACTAAAGAAGACGTGGCCGTACAAAATGACAGTCAAGTTATTGAAGCTGCAGAAACTACTAAAACTGAAAACGTAGTAGTTAGTGGAAGCACTAGTACTAAAGAAAACATAGCCACAGAAAAAGAAAGCAATGTAGTTGAAGTAGCAGAAACCACTAAAACTGAAAACGTTGTAGTAAGTGGAAGTGCTGACAATAAAGAAAATCTTGCTACAGAAAAGGAAATCATTGCAGTCCAAGTTGTAGAGCCTACTAAAAGTGAAAATGTGGTAGTAAGTGGAAGCATTGGTACTAAAGAAGACGTGGCCGTACAAAATGACAGTCAAGTTATTAAAGCTGCAGAAACCACTAAAACTGAAAACGTAGTAGTAAGTGGAAGCATTGGTATTAAGGAAAACGTTGCTACTGAAAAGGAAAGCAACGTAGTCGAAGCTGCTGAAACCACCAAAACCGAAAATGTAGTAGTAAGTGGAAGCATTGGTACTAAGGAAAACGTTGCTACCGAAAAGGAAAACAATGTAGTCGAAGCTGTAGAAACCACTAAAACCGAAAATGTAGTAGTCAATGAAAGCATTGGTACTAAGGACAACGTTGCTACCGAAAAAGAAAGCAACGTAGTCGAAGCTGCTGAAACTATCAAAACTGAAAATGTAGTAGTAAGTGGAAGCACTGATACTAAAGAAAATGATGCTACAGAAAAGGAAATCATTGCAATCCAAATTGTAGACCCTGTTAAAAGTGAAAATGTGGTAGTAAGTGGAAGCATTGGTACTAAGGAAAACGTTGCCACCGAAAAGGAAAGCAACGTAGTCGAAGCTGTAGAAACCACCAAAACCGAAAATGTGGTAGTAAGTGGAAGTGCTGATACCAAAGAAACCACAGCTGTAGACAACGCAAGTACCGTAATTAAAACCGATGAAACTACCAAAACCGAAAATGTAGTAGTAAGTGGAAGCACTGATACTAAAGAAAATGATGCTACAGAAAAGGAAATCATTGCAATCCAAATTGTAGACCCTGTTAAAAGTGAAAATGTGGTAGTAAGTGGAAGCATTGGTACTAAGGAAAACGTTGCCACCGAAAAGGAAAGCAACGTAGTCGAAGCTGTAGAAACCACCAAAACCGAAAATGTGGTAGTAAGTGGAAGTGCTGACACCAAAGAAACCACAGCTGTAGACAACGCAAGTACCGTAATTAAAACCGATGAAACTACCAAAACCGAAAATGTAGTAGTAAGTGGAAGCACTGATACTAAAGAAAATGATGCTACAGAAAAGGAAATCATTGCAATCCAAATTGTAGACCCTGTTAAAAGTGAAAATGTGGTAGTAAGTGGAACCATTGGTAGTAAGGAAAACGTTGCCACCGAAAAGGAAAGCAACGTAGTCGAAGCTGTAGAAACCACCAAAACCGAAAATGTGGTAGTAAGTGGAAGTGCTGACACCAAAGAAACCACAGCTGTAGACAACGCAAGTACCGTAATTAAAACCGATGAAACTACCAAAACCGAAAATGTAGTAGTAAGTGGAAGCACTAATACTAAAGAAAATGATGCTACAGAAAAGGAAATCATTGCAATCCAAATTGTAGACCCTGTTAAAAGTGAAAATATGGTAGTAAGTGGAAGCATTGGTACTAAGGAAAACGTTGCAATCGAAAAGGAAAACAACGTAGTCCAAGCTGCAGAAACCACCAAAACTGAAAACGTAGTAGTAAGTGGAAACATTGATACTAAGGAAAACGTTGCCGCAGAAAAGGAAAACAGCGTAGTCGAAGCTGCTGAAACTACCAAAACCGAAAATGTAGTAGTAAGTGGAAGTACTGATACTAAAGAAAACGTAGTTACCGAAAAAGAAACCAATGAAACCACCAAAACCGAAAACGTAGTAGTAAGTGGAAGCACTGATACTAAGGAAAACACTGTTACCGAAAAGGAAAACAATGTAGTCGAAGCTGCAGAAACCACCAAAACGGAAAATGTAGTAGTAAGTGGAAGCACTGATACTAAAGATAACACTGCTGTAGACAGCGCTAGTAACGTAGTCAAAACCGAAGAAACCACCAAAACTGAGAACGTAGTAGTTAGTGGATCTACTGGTACTAAGGAAAACATTGTTACAGAAAAGGAAACCAATGTAGTTGAAGCTGCTGAATCCACCAAAACTGAAAACGTTGTAGTTAGTGGAACTACTGGTGCTAAGGAAAACGCTGCTACAGAAAAAGAAAGCAACGTAGTCGAAGCTGCAGAAACCACCAAAACCGAAAATGTAGTAGTTAGTGGAAGCACTGGAGTTAAAGACAACACTGCTGTAGACAGCACAAGTAACGTAATCAAAACCGAAGAAACCACCAAAACTGAAAACGTGGTAGTTAGTGGAAGCACTGATACTAAGGAAAACGTTGCTACAGAAAAGGAAAACAAAATAGTCGAAGCTGCTGAAACCACTAAAAATGAAAACACCGTTGTTAGTGGAAGCATTGATAGTCAAAATAATGTTGCGGCTGATAGTGCAAGTAAAGTAGTAGAAGCTGCGGAAAGTACTAAAACTGAAAATGTGAAGAACACTGAAAACAATGTTAATTCTGGTAAAGTTGAATTGGGCGACAAAAATGTCTCTTCTGATAATACTGGAACGAAGAATTCACATGGTCATTGGTGGGGTAAATACAGAAGTGGCAGAAGCAAAAGTCGTAGCAGAAAAGATCGAAGATCAAGGCATAGCCGAGGACGTGGCCGAGGACGTGGTACAGCTAAAGACGAAAATGTAAACAATGATAGCACTGCTATTAAAGACAAGACAGATGAAGAAAAGAGTTTGAACAAAGATTCTTCTACTGATGGAACTGAAAAGAAACAATCACGCCGAGGTCGTTGGGTTCGGTTCTGGGAGGAAAATGAAGGCGATGAAAAAGAAGACGTAGCTGATAAAAATGATTCTTCTGATGAAACTGAAAAGAAACAATCACGCCGAGGTCGTTGGGGTCGCTATTGGGATGGTAAAAGTCGCAGACATAGTAAAAGAGAACGAAAATCAAGAAAGAGTAGTCGAGGAAGCAGACGTCGGGGAAATAATAAAAATGCTGCAGAAAAGGAAAGCAACGTAGTCGAAGCTGCTGAAACTACCAAAACCGAAAATGCAGTAGTCAGTGGAAGCATTGGTAGTGAAGGAAATGTTGCCACAGAAAAAGGAACCGATGTAGTCGAAGCTGCTGGAGCTACTAAAAATGAAAATGTTAAGGATAGTGAAAACAACACTAACGTTGAAAAGGAAGAGGCAAATAACAATAATGCTTCTTCTGATGAAACTGAAAAGAAAAAATCACGCCGTGGGCGCTGGGGTCGCCACTGGGATCGTAGAAGTCGCAAACAGAATAAAAGAGAACGAAAATCAAGAAAGCACTCACGTAGACGTGGGCGTCGCGACTCTACTAAAAATGAAAATGAAGGAAATAAAGACAACGTTGCAGTAGAAAAGGAAAACAATGCAAACAAAGCTGCAGAAATTTCGAAAACTGAAAACACAGTAGTCAGTGGAAGCATTGGTGCTGAAGGAAATATTGCCACAGAGAAAGTAAGCAGTGTAGTCGAAGCGGCAGGAGCTATTAAAACTGAAAATGTAAACGATAGTGAGAACAATGCCAATGAAAGTGCAAATGTTCAAAAGGGAGAGGTAAATAACAATAATGCTTCTTCTGATGAAACTGGAAAGAAACAATCACGCCGTGGGCGCTGGGGTCGCCATTGGGATCGTAAAAGTCGCAAACAGAATAAAAGAGAACGAAAATCAAGAAAGCACTCACGTAGACGTGGGCGTCGCGACTCTACTAAAAATGAAAATGAAGGAAATAAAAACAACGCTGCAGTAGAAAAGGAAAACACAGTAGTCAGTGGAAGCATTGGTGCTGAAGGAAATGCCGCAGAAAGATCAAGCAATGTAATCGAAGTGGCAGAAACTACTAAAACCGAAAACGTAAAGGAAAGTGTAAATGACAGCAACGCTTCTTCTGATAAAACTGTAGAGAAACCAGTTGGGCGTTGGGTTCGTTATTGGGATGATGGAAGTGGTAAACCTACTAAAATAGAGCCACTTCGCTAAAGTTGAGCATTTTTGAATAAAACTTATTTGTTTGTGAATAAAATATAAATTAAATAAAATATTAAATACATGATTCTGATTGTTTTTTTTCCCCCTAAAGTTCAGTTTGCAAAAATACTAAGAAAATAGTATAACAATTTTAATTGTAAGGTAAAAATATGGATGGATGGGAGCTCATGCAGTGACAACAATTTTGTTATGTGAAATTATCTAAAGTAAGTTGACTTTTTTTGCTAAAACCTCGCTTTAACCAGAATATGCTAGACAAAATTATAAACAATTGAATGTAAGACTTAATGTACAATAACGTTAAACGTATAAATCAGTGTTGAATTATAAAGCACTATAATATGTAGTGAGCATGGATTCCAGTCACCATTAATTGAAATGCAAATTTTATGCCATTTTAGTTAAACTAAATGTATAGATATATAGAATGTTTTTAAAAAACTATTGAAATAACTAGTACAATATAAGCAAATAAATCAAATATATTTTTCTTAGATAATAGCTTCATGATATTAATAAATAAAACTGATTTCGCCCTGCACGGTTACTATATCCTGCAGATCCAATGTGTATAGTACTATTATATCTTGCAAGTACTCATACAATTTTTGCTTCCAAGGCTAAAATCGTTGTCGATTTATGAACACAAATCTATGACTACAAATACGTCCACAAAACTATGCACCGGTCGTAGTTTACTCAATTTTGAAATCCAAATTATTTATATCTATATAATATAGATATATAAATTGATATATTATATCTATTTCTGCTTTGATTGTTGATTTTTCAACTATATTTAGCATTTCACCCGCATATGGTCAAATAAATTGTTCATGACTCGTTCATCGTTCATGACTTTCGAGAAATAAAGATAGTGATGTCATTGCATTTTTCAAAGTGTATCGGTAGTGGATCGCATTCAGATTTTTTTATTTTACTTTTAACAATTTTTTTTTATAAATTTACTGGGACATAAATTAACGTCTGAATCTTATAAAGTAGCAATCTTTAAAAAATTTTGAATGAACTTTTATTTTGAATAAATGCATAAAATTGAATATAAATTGTTTCTCCCTTTATTTCAACTAAGCTAACCTAACCTAGATAGGAAAGTACACTCATAAAATTATATAAGATTCTATACTCTTCCATACTATGAGCTAATATCATTAGAACTCTTAAGTCCTCTTCTGTAATAAAGTTTCTTGTGCCTGTACTCAGTAACAAACAGTGTTTGTGTTTATTATATATTCATTTTTTTTTCTTACGTGTCGTGATATATGAATTTCTGGCTTCTACTATGGATGCCCATAATAACAAAAATATAGAGAAAAAATTTCATGGAAAGTATTGTCTGAAAGATAAAAAAAAATTCCTTAATTCAATAATTTTTAAAAATAATTAAATAATAAAACTTATAAAGCTTTTATTTTTTCTATTCTAACTTTTTACTAAAATTGTTAACTTAATTTAAAAAATAGAAAAACAACTGATCCAATTATACAGCCGCGTTGACTGACATTTGGTCGACGGAGTTTACAGTTAGCCCAGAAACATAAACTTTGTCCGCATAGAAATCCATTACTCCAGTAATTGATTTCACTCTTATAGTTCTTGTTGCATATGGTTCAGTTCAACTTACCTTCAAGACTCAACGAAATATGTTCAATCCAAACTATGAGTGCATGTTAATAGAGACTAGTTACGGATGTGGATGTCTAGGTTGAGGCTAAGTAGTACATGTCTCAAGGTTATATATATAAATATCTTTTGTTATACTGAATATTTTTAATAATACGGTACTGCAATGGCCTATAGCCTAAGTGGATCCCCCTTGGGATCGCCGGTATAACCTAACCTAACCTATACTGAATATCTGACATATTCTTACACAAAAGCCCATACTCCTTATGGCTCAAACTACTACTTTGTTACCTTTATTGTAATTCTTATCCTTTTAAGAGGTGGAAATTGGTGAAATGATAATTATAAAATGTACCAAATAAACCTAAGTAAAATAAACCTAAGTTTACTTTAAATATTAATTAAAACGTAATTTCTAAAATAGTAAGCAAGTGCTCAGATGTCTGATTGCCACCAATATTTGTATAATTTAAAAGTGCTGTATTTAAAGTATTTAAAAAATTACGCAAAATATTCTGTAAATTCTGTAAAATAAGACTCATAAATCATCTAACAAATATGCTATGAGTGCATAACATATTTCAAAAGAAATTTTAGAAAGTCACTAAGAATATGGTATTCCTCTTTAAAAAGAAACAAAAGATATATTATCAGAAAGTATTTTTAATTTTTGATATATTTTAAAAAATATAGTACATATTACATGAAAATGTTGCTTCGAAAATAATATCACTTAATTAAAATAAAAGTTGAAGATTTTTAGTAAGTTCGAGTTTTGAAAATCATATTCCAGTTTAAATGGCCAATTATTCTGTGGTGCAGATGTTGTGGTTGGAGATTCAGTGGTAGTTAAAGGTAATGATTGACAACTATACAATTGGAAGCTAATCTTTATTAAAAACAACATTAAAATTAATTTCATCTTGATAATGATAAATATTTATTAAATAATATTTAATCCTGTAATTTTAATAATTCTAAAACCAACTAAACTGAATATATTTCTTATACTAAAGTCTTTTTATAGTATTTCATATCTACTATGTAGTATATTAAACGACAAATGCTTATTTGAACAGTTGTCCATAATTTTATCAAAATTATAAACGAATTTTAAACAAATTATGAAATTAATATATAATTTAAAAATATAGAAATAGTAATAATAATTATATAATTGTTATAAATTATAAATCATACAACAAATAATGCCTCTACAAACAGAATAGTATTGAAATTAAACAATTAAAAACAAAAATATATAATTAATTAATTCAATTATTCTACAGGTTTATGATTTCGTTCTAATATAAACACAGCAAGTGAATTTGTTGATGAACTTTCACAGCAAATTAACAAAACTTCAGAAAAATGTGCGAACATAAAAAAGTCAAGTATGGCTTTTAGCTTCAAATTTGGCAGGGCACGAGTTCGATTTCTGGTACTTGCAGTCTCAAAAAAAAAACTATTTCCGATTAATTAAATACAAGATTATTTCCAAAACCACTGATAATAGGTGTTCGGTAATACTCAAAACAGCTGTATGGTCAGCCAAAAATTCAGTTAATTAAAATAATATTAAAAAAAATTTTGTTGTTGTAGTTCACTACTTTTCGAAAACCTCTTTATAATTACTATATTTATTTAATAGTTAATGTGTTCTATATCTCAACTCTCTCATTTTTCTAATACTCTCCAAATAATTATTTCTTTTCATTATTATTTATTATCATATAGTCATATCATATCATATACTCTCATATAGTATATATTATTTAGTATATATAGTATATATATATTTGTATTACTTACATTTATACAATATTATTCAAACTAAATTATTAATTTACAATCAGTTGAATATATTTACCAAAATTAAATTCAATGACTAAAACAATCGTTTGTAAAACTTATTTTGTTATTTTTGATCATCATGGTCTATTGTGAGATTTATGGACTAGAAGTTTTGTATAATCATATAATTAGTAGTCTTAAAATATTGGTTTTAGATTCTATCAGCTCAATTAACTTGCATATTATATTTATTTTGATTTTATATATTAAACAGAAAAAATCATAATATTAAAAAAAGGTATACGACAATGCCTTATAGAAATTGCATTTATAATAAATATACTGCAGAAATGGAATACAGCACTAGGTGTTACTAGACTTTATATTAGTTTTTATTCATCGACTCAACGTATTGGTAAATACAAATATCTGGCCAATTCTAATGTTTAAATTAACAATATATAAATATTGTTGAGTTAATTAAAAAATGGAACATCCGAAAGTTAAAGTCTGTAATTACATACGGTTAGAAATAGACACAAACCTAGAGCATAGCGTTTTGGTGTCTCTGCCATGAGCGCTGAAATACTCGATCTTTAAGAGTTTCTACAAAAAAGGTCCTTACCTGCATTTAATTCAAAAACTAAATTACTTTTACTTTCAATGAAAAAATAATTTGTTAGAAATTAGAATGACCTATAAATTTATTAATATATTTCAAAACTTTATTATAGACCTCTATTGTAAAGTAACTAAACTTGTACACTATTTCACCAATACTATGGTGACCTTTTTGAGTTATGGTAATTTTGTTGACATAATATAATGACCATAATGACCATAATTATCATATCCATAATATAAAAAAACTCATCTTAGAAATTAATAGACCTATCTGATTTTTAATAACAGTTGAATTTTAACAGATTGTATATTACAAAATAGATATCTGGATATCAATCATACGTTTAACAAAATGGCCTATAATTATCTAATCCCCTATAAAAAAAACTCTTAAATTTATGTTTAATATCACTAAGTACGTAGAATGACTTAGGTTATTACTATGATCCTTTGGATCCAATTAGGCTTGTTAACCCATTTTTAACCGTTTTGAACTCTAGTAATTTAAAACCAGTTAGATCATTTAATAAAACTTTAGGAGTAACTCCACCAACTCACTAAGATGACGTAGAAAATAAATCTAGGTTTTTTAGTCACATACTCTAGGTAATAAAAAAATGGATGTGAAGCATTTTTTTCGTCATTCTTATAGCGGTGGTAAGAATCTGTTGTATCAAAATAAATATTTAATTTCCTAGCACTGTTTTCCAACCGACAGCATACGCACTGTAAAGTTGATATATTTACAATGCATCTCAATGAGGTCGTCAATCTACGTAAGAAGCACTTTTTGGTTTGTTTATGTTAGATTTAGATTTTATAATCTTTTATTAGATTCTGCAGAATAAATTAAATAAATAAATAACATATCTACTGAATATATAACTAGAAGTCTCAAAGCTAACAAAGTAGACTATATTTAAATACTATTTGACAACATATAGTTAAGCATTGTACTAAAATTAAAAAGAAATTTAATATTTGACGATATATACGGGT